ATGGACTTCCGGTATGGATTGGATATATGGCGGCGCCCGTGTCCGCCATCTTGCCTGCAGTTGGGTATTCTTGGGAAAAGCTGGAAATTCCAAACGAGCCGTTTCAGTGCAGGTCACGTGATGTGTGTCTGTGGGGGGAGAGAGCTCCCTTTATCCTGGATTTTTTTTTTTTGACTTAGCAGACCTTATAGAGGCAGGAAAATGCTATATAACACACTAAAGAAGAGGGAAAACCCCAAAAAGCATAATAGACATTTGTATATTGTGTTTCATATTATACGCCCTTAGATATTTATCTCATAATTATCAGACTTTGATCCTCTGCCTGACCCTCCCTCTGTCCAAGGCTATTCATTTATTTCAAAAAGGTCTAGGCTATATAACTGTTATATATCATCTCGCAATTATTAATCAGTCCCTCCAGGAAGTCGCGATCTTGCGATCACTATAATTAACACAAATTCAACAAAAGTCCGCAATATTTGTGGGGGTTTACAATTTTTCAAAAGTCCCTCAATTTTTCCACATTTTCCGGTTGGAGTAATGCTCTGTATTGACATAAGAATTTGCACTGTTTAAATGCATTCATAATGCATGTGTTGAATTTATTAAAATGTTTTGTTTATAGAAGATGTAGCTTACATGTTGTTTTACAGTCACATTGTCTGGTTTGAGAGCTACAATATTAACTCGGGATTTTTTTGCAACTTTATTGGAGTCCATGTTTTGAAACTAATTAAATGAAACTAAAGAAGAGAACTATAAAAAACATTTGCAGCTATTTTTGTAATATTCAGTATGATTATTATAGCAAATGATTACATGACTTATCTTTTTGGAGGTAGTAGTTTTTTTTCTCCTTTTGTCATTAGCCGTAATTTTTATCTTTTTTTTTTTTTTTTTTACAAAATTGGCCGCAAATTCAAGGGTTTTGGGCTGCAAATTCAAGGTTTTTTTGCCACGAGATCCTGGAGGGACTGATTAATGTAAGCAGATGATTTTAGTACAGAGTGGTAACCACTGTATGTGAATACATGACTGGGTCAGACCTGCGCAGCACTGGATTTGAAATGAACTGTAATCAATCAATCAATCAATCAATCAATCAATCAGTTTTATTTATAAAGCCCAATATAACAAATCACAATTTGCCTCACAGGGCTTTACAGCATACGACATCCCTCTGTCCTTAGGACCCTCACAGTGGATAAGGAAAAACCCCTTTAACGAACCTTTAATAAACTGGAGCTTCTGTGCTTTGATTAGTTGCTGTGAAACATGACCTTCATCCATTTTAAATAAACATTATTTCCTCTGAGCTCATTTTGGTCAAGTAAAGCAAAAGTAGTGTAATAAGTAACTTATTACTCTATGCAAAGTAATATTGTAAAGTAACTTATTATCTCAAAATGAACGTAACTAGTAATATGTAATTTTTTTTTAATATATTTTATTAATCCCCCTGAGGGGAAATTCTTTTTTTTTTTGCACTCGGTTGTCATTAACACACAGGTCCGAAATATACACTCATGCACAAACAGGACCTATACATGCACAAAGTGGAGAGATGTCAGAGTGAGGGGGTTGCCATGGACATGCGCCCTGAGCGGCTGGGGGGTTCGGCGCCTTGCTCAAGGAGGTGACCTGGCACCTCTCCAACTGCCAGTCCACGCTCCATGGGGACTTGAACTGGCAACCCTCCGGTTCCCAAGCCAAGTCCCTTTGGACTGAGCTACTGCCGCCCCATTAATACATATTTAGAATAACTTGCCGAACACTGGGGTTGAATCCCCAAATTGATAGAACCCTGTTGAGTTTATGCCTGTTTATTAAGGTTCAAGCCCTAAAGGGACAGAGCCATGTTGAGTTTTTGCCTCTGTTACAATCACAAGGATCTCAGCGCAGACACAGATGGGGAGTGCAGAGTAATGAAGGATTTATTTGTAGGAATGAAGGGCGATGAGGATGGTGAGCACTAGTAGAGGAGCCACGGAGGCAGTAGGGGAATGGGGCAAGAGCATCTCTTGTGTTGGGGAATAGGTGTACGAAAGCATTTTGAGTCTGACCCATAGGGGGCACCACAGCCACAAATATGTACCTCAAAAGCCAGTGGACAGAATTTCATGCTCTGGGGCCAAGTATTAACCAAAATCTGAAGGTGTCATAATGATTGGCGCATGTGGGCATGGCCTAGTTAGCATTGTATGCTGTATAATGGCTTTGTTCAAAAAATGGTGACCTGGAATAAGCTAGAGATATGAAACCTGGCACCATAACAAGGAATTATGTTCTACTGGTTCATACAAACTTTTATTCCTGTTGGCCCTATGGAGGTAGTATAATTCAGTGTTTCCCACAGGACAGGAATCTATTTGTGGTGGTATTTTTCAATACTCATCTTAATTACCAACAAGCAGAACCTTACGGCCAGGCTCCACCGGCTATCATCACATATTACCTCTGATTATGGTTTATTCATTTAAAAACACATTGTGCTCGTTTAGCACACTATTTCATGTAGTTTTTATCTGCTGGAGGGTCGCGTAGGGGAGCATAGCGCGACAAAAATAGAAGGGCCGTGTAAAATAGAGAGTTGTCGCGCAACAGATGGTGGTTGTCGCGCCGCTCCCGTTGCCGGTGGAGCTGCTGTAATTGATTAACGGGGGCGAGCTGCAACGGGACTTGCGCTGCAGTTAACACTACTAACAGCGTGAGTTAATGTCTCTGCACATGTTGAGCTTCCAGCTATGTTAATACAGACACAGGCTAATATAACATGATGAGTTAGAGTTGTTCGGACCACTTTTGGACTTGTTTGCCCACATATTTGTACCGAGAGGTCTTTGGATCCGTTCTTCTGCTACGTCTGCTTCTTCTTCTTCTTCTGGTGGACCAGGTGCGTTAAGTGCGTCTTTACGATGCATACCGCCACCTATCTTATCTTATCTTATCTTATCTTATCTTAATAATAATAATAATAATAATTATTATTATTATTGTTATTAATTTTTGTTATTTGTATTTGATGGGAAGTAAACAGTCAGACAGGCTACAGTCAGACTGTGGCTAAATTATCAGTAGGGTAGATAATGTCAAGTGTGTGTTTAAAATGATGGTGTACGCTTACTTAGGAGAACTGACATAACTACAATGAATGATCTGTAAGTAGCCTAATATGTTGAGGTGTGTGAAGCCTGTTTGACCTAACCCTTGGCTTATATTCATTCTTCTCTTATATCTCAACGGGACTCATCTCACAAGCCAGAAAAGAACGTAGCAACAAATGAACATTAAGTAAAAACATGTGAATGTGTTGGGATTCTCTGGACTACAGATGATTTGTCATTTGTGCAGATGTAAACTGGATATGTAAAGGGTCTTTGTTCTTCAAACAAAAGACAGCCATTCGGACTCATCTCTGGATCATTGTCACACCTTAGTGAGAGACCAGTTGTCAAACTTGATTGGACAGTACTTTCACAGTGACATGTAACTCTGTGATGTCACCAGGCAAACTGTAGGAGAAGTTCTGTTGTCCTCACTCTCTATGTTCTCTTTTTCTCCTGAGCTGCTGACCAGCTCAGCTCTTGCCCCTGAACTACTGAAGGGGGCACCTTCTCTACAGACTCTTGCTGCTCTTTCTCTGGAGCCACTGACGAGCTGTTGCTCCTAAGACTCTCTTGCTCTCTTTCTCCATGGACCATGACTTACTCATGCTCCCCGTAGAGCAGAACCTGGAGACCAGAGAAGTTAGTGTGCCAAACACAAGGTTGTCAACTAACTTTCTAGCAACAAGGAGAACCAAGTTGAGTTAGCACCCTAATGTCTAACTCTGCAGGGACCTCGAGCAACCGGCTTCCTTGGTTCTGCACCTTAAGAACAAGGACAAAGACTGCACTTGGAACCACAGCTCTTACCAGCTTTCATCCACCAGCTAACAACAGCAACACGCCACAAAGCAACTCTTCCCCCCATCCATTTAAGGACTGGTAAAGTAACAACTGGGCATAGCATTATTACAGTTGTACAGGCTAAGCAAGACTGTTTATCTTTGTCAGTTGTGATTTAATGCTGTTTATTGACTTATTGTTGTGATTATTTGCACTTAGGTTATTGGTGAGTTGGCCTCATCACTAACAATGTTAGTTTGCTAATGCTTTTCACAGACAGTCTTGCATGCAACTAAATATCCTTTGCACTGACCCAGACCCTTTGCAACACATATCACATTCACAAAGATTGATTACAAATTGGCGTCCAACAGAGCTACAACGCAAAGAGGCAACTGCTTCTTTTCCTTTGTCTTTGCCCTGACCACACGTTCAGACAAACCCTCCCCCTTAGTTGTAGCCAGCTTTGATTTGGCCATCTTGCATCTTGTAGTTCTCTGAGCAAGAGTCTGAGAGCAATCCCCTGCCCCCCCCTTACCGTTCGGGGGCAAGAAGAGACAGTCTGAGCTGGTTGGCAGCCCAGGAGGAAAGAGGAAGACAAAGAACATGAGTCTCTTACCATTTCAGATGGCAAGAGGAGAAGCCTTCACATGTCCAGTTTAGATTTTAACAAATGACAAATCATCTGTGATCCCAACACTACATTATACAGTATAAAACTCTAAACTAAAACATGAGTGATCATGAATAAAATGGGGATTAACTGAAATAGGTTGGCCTGTCAAATAACCATTTGGCTTTTTTAGACAGTAAAAGTGGTACGACGTGATTTTTTAAAACCATATTTTTAGTATTATGTTCTTTGGAACTAAATTAAATGGATACATCCATGCTTGTTCAGAAAAACGTTTTACAGCTCAGAGAACATAGATGACAATGTAAAAAGCAGCTCAGTGTAAATGAGCAGTAACAGAGACAGTCCTGTTGCTTGCATTCCACAGATATGATCCCTAATGCACTAAGTGACTGTTAAAAGATTCTGAAACACTATGAACTTTAATTCACCACTTACTGTTACTTACTGTCATGTCAACATCTGTCTTTGTGCAGGTAATCGTCCCTGTATTGTGCTGACAGGTCGTGTCCATCCCGGTGAGTCTAATGCCAGCTGGGTTATGAAGGGCACCCTAGATTTTCTATGCAGTAGTGACTCCATAGCTCAGAGTCTGAGGGAGGCCTTCATCTTCAAGATCATCCCCATGCTCAACCCAGACGGAGTCATCAATGGCATGTGAGTAGGAATCATAAACAGTGCAGGATGTAGGACACATTGGAACCCAGTTAGATATTGATATGACATAGTGTAGCACAGACAGAAGAGATCCTATAAAAAAGGCATCCCATAAAATCAACCTAAATTCACCCAAAATGCCTATCAGACACTATGGGGTGCCGTTTGTAAAGTGTCTCACGCTGAAAATAACATCAACATTTTGCCACATTTAGCTTCAAACAATGTTTAAAAAAGTGTTGTGAATTTTTTAACATCACCTTTTACCACATTTACAGCAATATTTGTTAACTTCGAAATACATTAAATAGTTAAATCTAAATATTAAATGTGGCACCTAAATGTTAAATGTTAAATCTAAATATTAAATCTAAATCTAAATGTTAAATCTAAATGCTAAATCTAAATATTAAATATAAATATTAAATATAAATCTAAATGTTAAATCTAAATATAAATCTAAATCTAAATGCTAAATCTAAATGTTAAATATAAATGCTAAATCTAAATCTAAATTTAAATGTTAAATCTAAATGCTAAATCTAAATGTTAAATGTAAATGTTCTGGGTGAAACTAAATATTTAGCTAATATGCAAATTCACACTGCCGGTCACCGGAAGTACCAAAATAAAAGCTCGAGATGGTCAGACTGTGTTTATAGAATCAAGTAACGAATTAAAACCAACTTATCGGGGGAAATGAACATTCGAACATACATTAGTGTGATAATAACTACCTAAAATAACAAAAAACATGTTTGGAGAAATTTTATTTCACGTGTACTTTGAGTTGTTAGTGTCCCTTCGGAGGGAATCGCCTTGTTGTTAACAAATACGTCCGGGTAGAAAACCAGCAACTCAGCAACCAACTCATTAACTCTAAACGGTCCGTGAAAAAAAATATTTTTTTCCAGCAGATGTCTTAGTTACAACATGATTTAACATTTAGGTGCCACATTTAATATTTAGATTTAACTATTTAATGTATTTCTAAGTTAATAAATATACTTTTTTAAACATTGTTTGAAGCTAAATGTGGCAAAATGTTGATGTTATTTTCAACGTGAGACACTTTACAAATGGCACCCCATAAGACAAGTTTTTTCCCCAACAGTCAGAATCATTGTAAGTGCTTCTGTCATTAAGTTCCAGTAGTTTCAACACACTGAAATAAAAAATATATATACAGTACAGGCCAAAAGTTTGGACACACCTTCTCATTCAATGTGTTTTCTTTATTTTCATGACTATTTACATTGTAGATTCTCACTGAAGGCATCAAAACTATGAATGAACACATGTGGAGTTATGTACTTAACAAAAAAAGGTGAAATAACTGAAAACATGTTTTATATTCTAGTTTCTTCAAAATAGCCACCCTTTGCTCTGATTACTGCTTTGCACACTCTTGGCATTCTCTCCATGAGCTTCAAGAGGTAGTCACCTGAAATGGTTTTCCAACAGTCTTGAAGGAGTTCCCAGAGGTGTTTAGCACTTGTTGGCCCCTTTGCCTTCACTCTGCGGTCCAGCTCACCCCAAACCATCTTGATTGGGTTCAGGTCCGGTGACTGTGGAGGCCAGGTCATCTGCCGCAGCACTCCATCACTCTCCTTCTTGGTCAAATAGCCCTTAGCCTGGAGGTGTGTTTGGGGTCATTGTCCTGTTGAAAAATAAATGATCGTCCAACTAAACGCAAACCGGATGGGATGGCATGTCGCTGCAGGATGCTGTGGTAGCCATGCTGGTTCAGTGTGCCTTCAATTTTGAATAAATCCCCAACAGTGTCACCAGCAAAACACCCCCACACCATCACACCTCCTCCTCCATGCTTCACAGTGGGAACCAGGCATGTGGAATCCATCCGTTCACCTTTTCTGCGTCTCACAAAGACACGGCGGTTGGAACCAAAGATCTCAAATTTGGACTCATCAGACCAAAGCACAGATTTCCACTGGTCTAATGTCCAATCCTTGTGTTTCTTGGCCCAAACAAATCTCTTCTGCTTGTTGCCTCTCCTTAGCAGTGGTTTCCTAGCAGCTATTTGACCATGAAGGCCTGATTGGCGCAGTCTCCTCTTAACAGTTGTTCTAGAGATGGGTCTGCTGCTAGAACTCTGTGTGGCATTCATCTGGTCTCTGATCTGAGCTGCTGTTAACTTGCGATTTCTGAGGCTGGTGACTCGGATGAACTTATCCTCAGAAGCAGAGGTGACTCTTGGTCTTCCTTTCCTGGGTCGGTCCTCATGCGTGCCAGTTTCGTTGTAGCGCTTGATGGTTTTTGCGACTCCACTTGGGGACACATTTAAAGTTTTTGCAATTTTCCGGACTGACTGATCTTCATTTCTTAAAGTAATGATGGCCACTCGTTTTTCTTTAGTTAGCTGATTGGTTCTTGCCATAATATGAATTTTAACAGTTGTCCAATAGGGCTGTCGGCTGTGTATTAACCTGACTTCTGCATAACACAACTGATGGTCCCAACCCCATTGATAAAGCAAGAAATTCCACTAATTAACCCTGATAAGTGGAGACCATTTCAGGTGACTACCTCTTGAAGCTCATGGAGAGAATGCCAAGAGTGTGCAAAGCAGTAATCAGAGCAAAGGGTGGCTATTTTGAAGAAACTAGAATATAAAACATGTTTTCAGTTATTTCACCTTTTTTTGTTAAGTACATAACTCCACATGTGTTCATTCATAGTTTTGATGCCTTCAGTGAGAATCTACAATGTAAATAGTCATGAAAACAAAGAAAATGCATTGAATGAGAAGGTGTGTCCAAACTTTTGGCCTGTACTGTATATATTTTTTTAGATCTTCTGAATGTGTGAATATGAGTGTAAAACAAATCAACACAGACATAAATATCAAGTTAGGAGCTTACTGTATGTAAGACACTTCTACAAAACCTAAATTGATAGAAAGACTAGTTTTCCCCTAAAACAACACAGGACCCATGTGTTTATCATTTTTGTACAAAAAAAAAAACGATTATAATGAAAATGGGGGGGTGGGGGGTAGGGGTCCTCATATCATAAGTGATAAAATGGGACTCCACCTTTTCAAGAGTTTCTTCCTCTGGAGTCTCATGTTTTATTTCTTCCATATTATGGAGTAACCACAAGCAGTCCACCCTTAACTGACATGTTGATACAGTGGGTTTAAACCATTCATTTCATTCATTCATTTTCCGTAACTGCTTATCCTGTTAGGGGCCGCGGGGGGCTGGAGCCTATCCAAGCTGACATTGGGGGGGGGGTACACTGGACAGGTCACAAGACTATCTCAGGGCTAACACATAGAGACAGACAACCATTCACGCTCACATTCATACATACGGTCAATTTAGAGTCACCACTTAACATAACCTGCATGTCTTCGGATTGTGGGGGGAAGCCGGAGTACCTGGAGAAAACATGCAAAGAACATGCAAAGAGAATATGCAAAGTCCACACAGAAGGGCTCCTCCACTCTGGATTTGAAACCCCCACTCTGGGTTTGAACCAGGAACCCTCTTGCTGTGAGGCGACACTGCTAACCACTGTTCCACCATGCCAACCAGCCCGCCATGATTCCTTTAATGGTTGCCACTAAAAGAATCCAAAGACGATTTAAGTGATTTCTGTTTGCAGATCACTCCCAGTAAAGCAAACAATGGTCCTTGAGGGTTCTGTACTTTAAAAATGGAATTGGGGGTTATGTAGATCTCATCCCAGTATTGCTTCAATTTGTTACGTGACCAAAAACTATGGATCAAAATTGGAATCCTTCAGCAGTTGCTGAAGGATGATGTCTCAATCTTCACTGTTATGTGTAGTGTTCTGGAATATCTTCTTGTTAATTTCTAGACTTGCACCACTTACAATTTTTTGGGCGATACCAATTTCCGAATTGCAGAGTGTTTGGACGACCGATTTCGATTTTGGCCGATTCCGATTTCATTTTTTTCATTATTATTAGAACATTTAAACAGGAAAAAAACAACACAAAATTCACACAGGGCTTTACATCTACAAAATGCAGTGTTATGGACATTCTTATTTTAACAACGAGAAAAAAGGTGCACATTTGAACAGGCTGCCATCCATGGAACATTCATATTTGGTGCACATTTGAACAGGCTGCCACTCCCGTCAGTAAGCGCGCGGATGCGGACACGGACACGGACACATGCATCTTCGGTACATGGACACGCGCCTTGTCAGTTTCAAGCGACACAGCGAGAGCTCCGCTCCGCTCCATTAAGTTTAACATGGACAATGAACAACTTTCTCCTTCTGTGTCTTGATGTGTGTGCATGAATGATTAAGATGAGAGGCCGCCCATGTTTACAGATTGTATATGCATATTTGTAAGACCTGAGTGTAAAAGGTCCAGGTATCATCAGGTAATTCGTAATTCATTCGTAATTCAAAAACCAAAAACGGTAAATCTGTTATTTTATTCAAAACAGAAAAACAGGAGTACCCAAGAAAACTGTTTTTGGTGTCAGAATCAAATGAAAAACCAATCAAACCCGGCCCGTTTTTGGTTTTTGCTGATTCGTTTTACTGTTATTCCTTTTCGGATTGAATATTGAACAGGTCTGCGGACATTTAGCCAATTTGTTTTTGCCTTTGAAACCAAAAACAGAAATACGTGTTTTTTTCCTTTTTTCATTTTAAACCAAAAACGAAAAACGAAATCGTGATCTATTCCTTTTTTGTTTCCAAACGAGAAACCAGAAAACCAATTTTGGTTTTTGCAAATTCTTTTTTCATTTCTCATTTGGGACAGACAGTAGCGCGGTGGGCAGACAGGAAGCGGAAGTGAAGTGTAAAAACGTCAAAATAAAATCCAAGAGGGTAGAATCATATACATATATATATATATATATATGATATTTATGGGTAGAATGGCCATTCTATTGAAAATGTAACACCCAACATTATGCAAGCACAGAATCTAATAAAAATAAATAAATAGGCCTACGTATGCTATGCATATGAAATATATTTTATCC